GGTCCTCCCCACTCCCAGGCATGCTGGGGGCGGGGGTTAGGACTATCTGCAGTTGCCCATGTACCTTGTGGTCTAGTGCATACTGAAACGTAGCCGTGTCTTCCCATAACTCCTGTGACCATCCATCCTCTTCCGGCCCATAACATCCTCGCCGGTCATTTGCCCAGTCTGCCCTCAGTGATGCCTTATTTAACCCGGTTTGGTCACCCCACTCCCAGGCATGCTGGGGGCGGGGGTTAGGACTATCTGCAGTTGCCCATGTACCTTGTGGTCTAGTGCATACTGAAACGTAGCCGTGTCTTCCCATAACTCCTGTGACCATCCATCCTCTTCCGGCCCATAACATCCTCGCCGGTCATTTGCCCAGTCTGCCCTCAGTGATGCCTTATTTAACCCGGTTTGGTCACCAAGCTTTTCTGTTTGGCTAATTCTCCACTGCACCAAAGCCTGCACCAGCCACTCCCTCTCCTCCCCCTGGGCCCTCTTGCGGAGAGGTTGTAGACACTGGTATCCCTGTGACTCTGGCATAACTAGAGTGGTCAAAGCCCAGTTCCTTCCCACTACCCTCCGCCTGGTGGGCCTGCTTGTAGGCTGGTGTGACACGGTGGCATTTCTGATACAGTGCTTTTTTCATAAGAGCAATGCTGTAACGTTGCCCCCATTCGTACAGCCACCGCCCCAAAATCAGAGAGCTGTTCCCTCCTGCACAACCAGCCACAAGCTTGGACCCACCGCCTCTCCTGCCTCCATGTGGCTTGGTTCTCAGAAATGATTCATTCAGGAAGGACTCTGCAACCAGTGTCACTGATGCCGACAGGCTGTTTGCAAAGCTGCAGCAATCCCTGCTCCTTTGCTCACTTGTTTTTAATCGCGTCTCTTGGGAGTCTGTCAGCTTTTCCATGAGAACATGGGGCGCAGGGGGCAGGGGCTGTAAACATCCTGAAGGCGGATTGTTTATGGTGAGCAAAGAAGTGCTGCTGTTCACATAGGCAGGAAAAAAAATCAAAACGGAATGCCTGGGACCATGAGCCATTTCCAGCAGGAAAAGCAAATAAAAACAATGAAAATCAGTTAGTTTTGGTTTCTCCTGGCAAATTTCCTGCCATTGACAGGCTTGCAACTATCTGCTCAGGGCAAAGTGACAAAATCAGTAACCGACCGGAACCGTGGCAGTTGGACTGTCTTGGATGTCTTTGCCTCTGCTAAAGGCTTGCTGCAACATTCAGACGGGGCCAATGGTGCAGCCAGTAATCATCTCGAAGAGCCGTGACAGGGACACCAACAGGAAGAGTCGGCCTCTAAAAACCATCAGCCATTTGATACCAAAAGTATAGGCTATGACCCCCCTGCTCATGGAAGAAGAATGCGCTTGTAACTACCAGGCTGTGCTAGTCACAGGGGGCAGCCACTACAGGAATAAGTTTCAAGGCCAGAAGAGCCCACCATGACCCCTGACTAACATAACACAGGGCAAAGTAATGCTTAGACTCCCATTTTCGATAGGATCTCCAGGATGCCTCTTCAGTTAGCAATATTGAATGCCAGGCTGGCTGTACCAACTGACAATTGTTCGCATCCCACCCACTCAGCTAAGCACCCTGCAATAAGCACACCTGAGACATTTTCAGCCGTCAGCATGGCAGCAACTGTGTTTTGCATTCACTTAAATGTATAGCTCTGCTCAGGCGGGTCTTCTATGTGTTAGAAACTGCAGCCTCCCAAAAATGCATTTGGTATAGGAAATGCCACTGGACGCATTGGATAAAATCATATATGCACAGCAGTTTTATTTTTTTCATATAAAAAAGATTCTAAAGACTGCAGAACATCTGGATCCTAGTTTTTTTTTAAAAAAAACACAACTGCTTCCAACGCCCCCCTTTTAAGCTAATTTCCCCCTAAAGACTTGCGATGGTGCGGTCTCCCCTGAATTTGGCCCAATCACCACCCCTTACACTGGTATATGTCTGAAGCTGCAATATGGCACTTGTTTTGCGGAGCTGGCAGGTTGAAGTTATCCAAAAAGCCGGGGGGTATGAGGAGTTCCACACACCTCAGTCAATGAGCACAAAAATGTGTCCAGGAGCATGTCTTTGCATTCAGGAATCATACAGTACCGTGCCCTGCTGTGCCATGTCTTTCCTGTGCAAACATCAGCCTTCTGTCAACAGTCGGTCTTGCACTCTGAGTGTTCTCCTCTGAAAAGGATTCCAGCTTCAAGTCAGGAAGCAGACACAAAGTCAAGCAATTGTCCACAGCATTTCAGTTCTGCTTGCAACAGATTGCTAATATGCAGTCAATCAACCGTACCATTATAAGATTTGCTCAGCTTGTTGAATGTGAAATCTAAGCTATGCGTAGAAATAGGCTTTCGGTAAAGAGGATTGGATGCCTAAAAAAAAAATCAAATGGAAAAGATGAATGACAGCAATGCTGATATGACAACACGTTTGCTCATAACTGTATCCCCATTTGTATTCCTCTGAAATGTTGTTATTGAAATGCAAACAGAAATTGGGTTGCCGTGGCATCTTCGTAGGAAATGGACCGCGGATGTTGCTGGTCCAGAGAGTCCTGGTTTACAGAGGTTCAACCTGTATTTCCAGTTACCATCAAGATCGGGGTTGGCAACCTATGGCTCGCCAGCCAAATATGGCTCTTTTGGCCATTGCCACTGCCCTGTGTGCCGGACCTGGAACAGGGCCAAGGTGCATCTGTCCCTGCTGGGACAGGCCACGTGGTAGCTGCCTGGTGAAGCTATGTGGCAGGCCGCTGTTCCTTGTGCCGGAGCTGGAGCCAGAACTGTGGTGTGCAGCCCCAGAAGCAGCCGCACCACAGTCCTGGCTCCAGCCCCGGCACACAGAGCAAGCTGCCTGCCACCCCGCCCGCCCCAGGAGCAGCCGGACAGTCACCACGTGGCCCCAGCCAGGTAAGGTAATCCAGAGGGATGTTCGCGTATAATCGAGGGTGGGCTTATTGGTTTATCGGAGCTGGAGCCAGAACTGTGGTGTGCAGCCCCAGAAGCAGCCGCACCACAGTCCTGGCTCCAGCCCCGGCACACAGAGCAAGCTGCCTGCCACCCCGCCCGCCCCAGGAGCAGCCGGACAGTCACCACGTGGCCCCAGCCAGGTAAGGTAATCCAGAGGGATGTTCGCGTATAATCGAGGGTGGGCTTATTGGTTTATCCTATCGATTACCTCCTCTCCTCCCCCCCCCCCCCCGCCCCCC